GATTCCCATCCTATCAATGCTTTTTGTGCTCAATTGACTCGTATCATTGCAACACTTTATTTGTGTGAGACATTTTCTACTTCATAACCGGAGTATAACAGCAGTTCTCCTGAGGCTTGTCTTAGTTTTCCAACCTGAGTTCAATGAGTTCTCTGATTCCATGCACCTCCAGGTTGTATATTTTCATTTCCGCAGCAACTTGGAATAGTCCTCCGGTCTCCCATAACGTTCGAAATTTTCATGTACCTAAAAGAATGATTGAGCTGGTTTTTATAATGTCCATCGGCCTTGTGACCTCTGAAGAGACTCGGCTTTTCATCAAGTGACGTCATAACTCTTCTGAATGAAGACCTTACTGCCAGGACAGTTTAAATGGTTTGAAATGATTTTTCCGGTTAGCGTTTTTTAGCTAGTTATTTGTCTGCGGAATGGAGTCACCATCCCCACGCCCAACCTCCCTACTTGTATCCGGGCTTAGGAGAGAAAATAGCACCAGACGCCTTCAAACAGAGTTAAGAAAATGAACGAGCCATCAAATTATCTTACAGGATAATATTAAAGCAAATAAAATGAATATGCAAGTTTGCAGTAAGCAATATTCAGTCATACGTGCGCATACCAACCCCGACAATAGTAAAAGCCAATGGTCCATAAATGTTATTGCTATACCAATGATTCAGTTAACAAAGTTAATCAAAACGGCTTGATCAAATTAAATATTAGCAAATCCAATGGACCAGTAATTCCACGATTCTACGGTAGGCCGAAACTCCCCACACCCAACATTCCACTACGCCTTACTGTATCCCTCCGCGGAACCCCGACCTACAACTTATCAAGAGAAATTTCAAGGATATTAAAACATCTGGTGAATGAATCCAACTACTCCATTAAATCTACCACACAATTCTTGGATAAATTCAAAGGGGTTCAAACTGACAACGACGGAACAATGATATCCTTTGACGTAACAGCCTTATTCACTCTAATGGCGCCAAGCTTAGCTAAAGAAACTCTCTCCCTGCTCCTCACCAACCACACAAATCTGCAAAAATACACAAAACTTCAGAGACAAAGTCTGCTAGAACTCATCGATCTATGCTTAACGACGTATTTTCACTTCAACAACGAATCATCCTACCATACATAAAAGACATCGGAGCATACAACAAGACTGCTGAAACCATTTGGAATGGGTGTGACACGTAAACCAACAGAATCACTTCAATCAATCGTATCCAGACTAAAGGACAAAATGACAAAGGAACAAATACCAAATATCATTTACAAAATAAATTTCTCAGACTGTGAAAAACACTACACAGGACTAAGTGGACGGCCTCTCTTCAGCTTCGTTTACGTGAACACTAATTATCAGTTAAACGCCACGACAAATTTTCGCTTATATCAATACACACGGACAATTATGGACATATATTCGATTGGAACAGTGTGGAAATACTGGATAGGGGGAGGACAAAGAACACTAGAGAATTTTTAGAAGCTTGGCACTCAGGTCAATCAGCAATTAATAAACACATCGACATCGACCCAGTTTACTAACCAATCAGAATAATCATAGGATCAAGAAACAGATCAAAAGGGGATACAATCAAAACAAAGGTGCAAACAACGACATGTTTAAGGTCAACAGCAACCAATCAAGATCGGGGTTAGCAGAACAAACTACAGGTCAAACGTGGAGAAATTCGAATGCTTCATTTCTATCTGAAGTTTGTGCTGATGATATTGTTCAGAAGAACCATCAAAGCTCCACAACTAAAACATTCAGCTCAGAGATCGGAAAACCACAACAACGTCCGATCTTTTGTTATTACATATAACTCAAGCGCATCTCTTAGCATTATTGCAGTTAAATTGTTATTTTTTCTGGAGATATTTTTTTCGTAATTGCAGCCGCATCTTCTTTTCTCGGTATATTTAATTGTTGAACAATAGAAACTAGCCGTCGATTATTTGTGAAAATTTCAATCGTTGAGTCTATTCCAAATATGATTTTCTTGTGTCATTTTCTGTATTATAAACAGTTGATCAGTATTAGTGAAATGAATTATTTTATATTGAAATGATATCACCTGCTTAATCAATGAGAACCCAGCAGAAATTAACCTGTATTTCATTTGAACTTTTTAGCTTTGCATTCCCGTATCGAGGCTTGTTCCATTGGATGTATAACGAAGAATCGTAAAATTCGATCAATGAGTTAAGCTTCTACATACTTTAGATTCAATAATTTTGTAATATCATTGAATCATCATCCATTACCAAATGAAACAAGATATTCACAGTCTATTACGATGTTATTTTTCTTCAGTAAATAGAAAGAATTAACCACTTAAACTATTGTCTCTGTATGACAATAGTAGTTAGATAAGAACACTTGTTCCAAGCAAAAATTTAATTATACGTTTTATTAATGTTTTAAATTATGTACATAAAAATTAAAATTGTTATTATTGAGAATTATTCCAAACATATTTCTACTCACATCTTAGTTATATTCCCCATAAATCTGTATGGGTTGATGAAAATTTGATTTGTAACGCTACTTTATCCCACTTTGAGAGTCTTTCGTAGTTAAAACAGATTAAACCACCTTGGACTATGCTGAATATCCCCAATTAAGGCTAACGCCATGATCAGTAATTTAGAATGTACTAACCAAATTGAATATTATCTAGATAATTCTGTTGGAATATATGAAATTCAAATCCATGAAAATTTTTTTCTTTCTTGTGCATAACATGTTTTTAGGAAAAATATTTCAAGGTTTCGATGACACTACAAAACACCAGAGTTTACATTGAAATGAAAGATTTTTGTTTATGTTTCGACTGAGGTAGGCTGTTACGGTCCTTAATTAGTTGAAAAACATTCAAATACTAACAAATAAAATCATATTAAACCATAAATCAAGTTCCTTCATTGCTTATATTTCCTGGAGAATCAACTCTCTAATTTGATAAACAGACCTTCAGAAACTTAACTACCTACTGGAGTGTTTACTGTTTTCAGTGACGCTTGTAAGTAGTATGCAGCGTAGTGTTACTTAGAAGTTATAGCTGGAGAGAGGATTGTCGGATGCGAATGTTTGACGCAATCAAAATATTTTGAAAACAAGAAGATATGTGGAAGAAGAGATTGTAGAATCTGATTGTTTAGCAAACGGAAGTCAGAAAATAGGGTGTAAACATTTTGTTCGTAAACTGTATCTTCTCTAAACCAATCACTTATTCCATTCGGTTTTACTGTCTTCACTCATTACATTAGCTTTCAGTAGTCAATAGCACTAAATGAATACAAATTTCTTATATATTTGCACATATTTTAATCCTATTTATCGTTCAAATTTTGGGCATAAGTTTAGAAAATAGGATTATTTTACCTTTTTTTGTACAGCTATTAATATTTCCAGATAGATGAGTAATAAGATTAGCCAAACATACTTTATTCAACTTCCAGATGAATACATTTTTTAGCATAGCTATTAAATTGGAATTGTAAGTAATAAACAAATATGGAGATTGTGCTATAGTGCAGTGAGTTTAAGTGAAAGACAACAACGAAAATATGTCTCTGAATTAAAAGATGTTGTACATTAGGTTCTTTCCTATACTCATAATTCAATTATGATACTAACACCAACCTATGTGTATTCACCACGGATTAGTTTAGTTAATTAATTTTGATATACTTTGATTGTCTCTATCTAATCATTATTTTGAGGTAACCAGTGTACTGTTATATTAATTATATCATTTTTCTGTGAAGCGACATTATACTAGGTTGATCACTGAACAAGACCAGTGTAATAGCTTGAAAAGCATACATGAAGGATCTATTCCTAGATGCATTGTCATTCATAAATATTATTCAAGTATACTGTTGTATGATGTGCATCTAAACGAATTCCATGATTGTTAAGTTTACGACCAAGCAACTGTTTAAATAGACATTTTCAATGTATATCATTTGTGAAACTCATTGTTTAACATCAGAAAACAAAACGAACAACTAATATATTAGAAAAAACTCAAAATATTGATCGGAACGTTGCCTAAGAGAATGTTCAATGGATTTCTTCTAACTGTGATTGATAATTCATTAAATGTTTTATTGATTTTCTGTGTTAGAACAGTTTTAAATCATTTCTTTGCAAATCATTTAAATGTGATATTACTAGGAACCTATAACAATATCAACACACAAAAAACTGTTAACTTGTTATTCATCATTGAAATTATTAGTGATGATTCAATGCGTTTTCTGTAAATTTTAGTAGAGAATTCTTTTTCATAAGCAAATCTATTCATCTAGCCTACATTCTAAATTAATAATAACGAGAGTATGACAGGGTTACTTGACCAATAAAAATTACCATAAACAACCGGTTTTGACTTCAGTAAAATTGATAGAATGCAAATAATAAAATTAACATTATAACATCAGAGAGTTAAATTGTTTAAGCGTTCTCCATTGAATACATTTCAGTCAGAACTCTTAAAGTTAGGTTGGGAATTAGCAGATTTTAAAATTAGGTTATTATAATCAACGTGCTACTTGTTCCCTTTTATTGATTGCCAAACCCGAGTAGACGAAAATCGAAGAGAAGTATCACCTCATTATTTAAGTCCATGATGTCGAATATATAAGTATATTTAAATATGGAACTTATATTTTTACTACTATTATCATCAATAAATTGACCAATTAAACTTTAATCTCACTAGTTATTTGTTGATTGGTTAAATTTAGTAATTTAGAAAAAAAACTATGTGGGTAGTAGAATAAAAAGTAAGATTTTTCTATGCGATAGTTTTAATTAATTGATACTTCAGAATAGATTTTCATAATTGTATATTATAAGAAAATTGAAATTAAATTCTACTTATATGAACACATATATTCAAGTATTTTACATGTAATATTTTCAGTAATACAATTAAAATTTGTTTTGATAAAACACATGAACCCGACTTCTACTTTTCCTAGTTCGGATCCAAAGTCAAATATCTTTCAACACACTGAATCAATAATTGAGAAACAAAAGCGTCTCGCTAACATTTCCCCCAATATGAAAGTAATAAATAATCAGTTATTCAACACCACTGAATCAATGCAAACAGAAAAACCTGATGAATTTCCATCCTTTTCTGAATGTAAATTATCTTCACCTAAATTTTATAAGGCTAAGACTGCACCAGCTTGGATTATTACTGTATGTTCAGAAATATGGACAAGACTATTGTCAACACGTAAACCAGAGTCTTGTCTGACTGAAACACAAAATCAAATTTCTGGTGCTGAACTAGTTTCCAATTTTATGGCTGATGAAAATAAAACTGATCGTAATCTTATATGCGGTGTTTGGCAATTATTATTGGATGAAAGAGCAATTGAACCCATCCTGTCCTCAAATCAAGATGAAAATATCAATCCTATTGAATTTTATGATCGAAATGATGTTTTCTATGTGCGAAGTCGTCTGAAAGATAAGCGTCTGTCTATTGAAGAAGCCTTGGCAACTACTGAAATTTGTCCAAATGTAACTGGATCAAATAAAGAAGATTATGAAACGCTGGAATTCAGAAAAAGAACTTCAAATGCTCAGAATACACACAATAGTTCATGTGAAAAAAACAATGAACACGTTGATGTAGATGATGCTAATAGCGTTGAAGACTGTTATCGAGTATTAATTGAGAGACTTTATCGTCTTGCTCCTGAGGCGTTATTTCGCAAAATTTTACAAAAATTACCATCTTGTCGAACCGAAAATGAATTGGAGTATGTATATCAAGAATTATTACTTGTTCCAGCCTTATCATCATTTTCTATGTCTGTTCGACAAGAGTTATGTAAATGTCTAAGTTATGAAGTGCATGAAAATGCCACAGATATTGTTTTCTATCAAGGTGATCCCGGGATATCATGGTATATTATTTATCGTGGAAGTGTTTGGGTTCATGTGAATGATCAAGGTTATGTTTGTCGTCTTTCTGAAGGTGATGATTTTGGTAAGCTTGCATTGATTACAGATAAACCTAGAGCAGCAAGTATACTATTAGCTGAAGATAATTGTCATTTTCTTAAATTAGAAAAAGATGATTTTAATAGAATTCTACGCAATGTAGAAGCAAATACAGTTCGTTTAAAGAAAAATAATTTCGATGTTCTAATATTAGAACGAATTCCAGATGTTAAATTACCACTTTATTCACAAACTGAAATGTCACATGATAATATTAAGAATGAATCACATAAAATGACTTGCTTTAATTATTCAATTATAGCGGGAACAGTTGAACAAATACTATATTATTTGTTAGAAAGTCGTTTAAATGGATTAGATAATCAATTACATTTTCTAATTAGTGATGAATTATTTCCACCTTATTTATGTCCACATAGTCCAATCAATATTGATCAAACATGGCAAAATTTCTTTCTTACTTATACATTATTTACAACAAATAAAGAAATTCTATTATTTCTGTATGAATATTTAGGTTGTGATAAATCATTAGAATCTATACATCACAATCCAACTGAACAATATGAAAACAATAATAATAGTACAAATAATTATAATAATACTAATGAATATCATCACTGGCAATTTCCTAATAATTTTCAGTTTAATATAACGAAAGTTGGTCGAGTTATTGTATTATTTTATATATGGCGTTATTGTGTTGGTTTACTTATGTTTGCTGATCAAATAGAAGTAAATCAGTTTGTAGTGAATTTAAAAACAGCATTAAATAATATTTATTCTATTCAAACAACTACAGAGAATATTATTCACAATGAATTAGATAATCCTCAGGATTTGCAATTGCATCTAACTTGCCTAGATAAACTGATAAAACAGAACGCAAAGCTAATGACTATCAAGCCGACTTCTGATAAACAACATACTTTATCACCGAATTTTTTACATTTCCCATGTAATTTTTTGCGTACTTTACCGTTTGTTGGTAATACTAAACGCGGAATTATCAAACTGAATAAAACTCAATTATCAAATAGTGGAGAACATAGTGATTCATTCATTGCGACCGATAAGACAATAAAAGACAATGTAAAGTCATTTGAAATTCGTGATACCTCTACCATACACAATATACCAACTGATCAACATTATACTGAACTCAAATCAAGTCATATATCAACTCCTAGTCTCTTATTTGGTTTCCATATTTTTCCGAGCACTTTACCTTTGATTAAAGCGATACATACAATAACATTTAAAGTTTATGTTACTGAATTACAAAAACAAATTGATATCACTGCACCAATTGAATCAACTGTTTATGAAATTAAACAATTATTACTGTCTGAATGGGAAATGAAATCTGATATCAATGAACTGAAAATGATTGAAGTTTTCTCTAAAGGTGAATGGATAGTTTACCAAGACAATGAATGTGGAATAATGTTCGGTTTGTCACCTAATGGGAGATTATTTTTAACACCAGAAAATGCAGTTCAAAGTTTAGTCCCGTTGGCCGAACAACTGACGGTTACAATGAATTTTTTAGAAATAAGTGAAGCAGATCGTGTGCGAAATTCGCATCAGCATGAAACAACAAGTTATTGGAATCTCAAAAATGATATTTTATTATTAAAAAAGAATAGGTCAATACGAGCTTCTGTTCGTTTGTTAGATGAATTAAACATTGATGAACTAGCCACAACACTATCCTGCTGTCATGTTCAATTAGCAGTTTGCATACATCCACAAGAATTATTGGATTATGTTATCGGTGGTTGTAAAGTAAACAAGCCCTGTCCACATATTCGAACACTTGTTAGACGTTTTAGTCTTTTACATGCATGGACAATTACTCAAATTGTAACAACTTGTAATTTGACAAGACGTGCGAATTTAATCAAGAAATTGATTAAATTAGCAGATCGTCTTGTTTCTCCGCCTTTATGTGATTTATACAGTTCATTTGCCATTATTTTAGGACTACAAAGTTCGTCGATTACACGGCTGACGCATACCTGGGAACGTGTACCTAATCGATGGCGTCGTATACTGAATAACAATTTATTACCTCTTACAGATCCCTCTAAAAATCATCGAACGGCTCGTTTATGGAATAACTATAATAATAAAAATCCTACCAATTGTAATACACCAAGTACACCACGACTTCCATTTCTGGCTTTAATATTAAAAGATTTGAGATTTGGTGAAGATGCTAATCAAACAGATTATCATAAATCAGAGGGTGGTATTCGATTGATAAATTTTGAAAAAATGAGGCTTATTGCTGGAAGTTTACGTTCATGGGTTAATTCAATATCAGGCTATGAATTAATACATTCACATAATCAGTTAATCAGTTCTGAAATAACAAAAATGAAATATTCAGTCATGACTAATGTAACGGTACAAAAGCTTCTTGAAGTACCTAATGATTCACAAATGTTTGTGCTAGAACATTTAGAGTGTATTGACGATCCTCGAGTAATAGCCGAATTATCATTGAGATTGGAACCTAAAAAGTAATCAGTTAATTCAAATGGAAATAACTGCATGAGATATATTTTTGTAAAAAGATTACTGGATTATTGACATGATGTATATTTCCTTTACCTTGTAAATATATTACTACTTACACAAAAACGTATTATGTACTGGATGAGAGAATCTCATATATATATATATATATATATATATATATATATATATATATATATATATATATATATATATGACCACCCAATGAACTTCACTATATGCGAACATGCATCAACTTTTATTTTTTTTTCTAAAAATATATGTAAAATAAGTGACCGCTTTTTTAACATCAGTAGCAAGGTAAACCACTTTTAATTGATTGTCGGATAGTTTAGAAATTTGTATATTGACAACTATTTTTGTATTATAGCATGACCTCGTTAGTTGATATGATAACAACATTGTCTAGAATGTCAACGAATTTGTACTATTGTTCTTATAACAGTTATGACGATTTTTGCTCAGCTGTAGTTTAGTATATTCTTCGTGTATTTAGATCAATTAATGATTAATTTATTTCTCAACACTAGCCATTCTATTATTTATTATTCTCAGTACATGATTGTGGAGACTGTTGAATTTCATTCAAATTATGAACCGATCAACGTCATACCACCATTAGAAACCTAGAAGCACTTGACGTTCGTTTCGTCCCACAATGGGACTCATCAGCATTGCTCATCCAGGAGCCTCACCTCGGAATCCGAACCAGGTTTTCGATTCCGCGCGTGAACACCTAACCTCATGACCATTGAGCCGACATCCAGTGATACTAATGTCTAACTTCAATAAATTCACGATATTGTGCGACCATCATACATTGCTTTCTGTGGGTAACTGCCTCGCACACGATACGGTTGAATTCCATTGATCACGTATTTTCACTAAAACTCTAAGTATTCCCTTTCAAAGCTGGTTTAACTGAGGTCGGTACAAGTTTTTGGAGGTCATTATTATCCAATGGACAGTTTTTGGAATATACTTTAACTTAAGCTTTCAATTCAGTATTCACTCAGGGATATAAACATAGTGATATTTAGGTCTAATAAGTTCTGCATATGAGTAACGAATAATATCTTTATTATTTGGGTAGATATCGTTAAGTTAAAATAAGCTACGGATCTAATTATAATATAATAGTAACTACATTTTATGTTTCCCAATTCATATAGTATGAGCATAACATATTTATCATTATAATCCGCTTATTAATTTCAAACCATTAGCCAACATCTTGGAGGTACTTATTAACTGAGAGCAGTAATATGAACTGTTGTACTGTATTGTATAAGGTCAACCCTATATCAAGGAAAGGCTAGGTGAAGAGCCTACAAATAGTACCGGCCTCGCGCCAAAAAAATCTCAAAATAAAAATCTTGAAAGATCAGAGAAAATAGAACATGTTCTCATTTACAAAGACGTACCAGATAATTTAGAAATTAAAAGTGCAATAGTCTTAAACACCAATGTATCTCAATACTAAATTAACAACAGGAACATTATTGACCTTCACTAGTCTATCAAAATCATTCACAGACAAAAATACTCATTCTCTTTACTCTATCCTTACTTAAGCTTTAGTGAGTAAAAAGCTCGAATCAAATGGCGTTCAGAAAGAGACTGTAATCAATTTATCACTGTCTTGGCAAGTTCATAGCTTTGAATATATATATATATATATATATATATATATATATATATATATATATGTCATTTTACATTTTAGTGTTACATTTTAATAGGATTATGGCTGCAAGCAAATGAAGAAATACTATAAAATAAAGATGAATTCCTATTATTCAGCTTCCATTATTATTTTTGGCCTCATTCAGCTTTGTGTTTTCTTGCTGATGATATCCTGAACTGCATAAGATCACTAATGTTGTATTTTCTTAGTCCAGACCGAAAGATAAAGGTTAGATTCAATTAAAACGAAAACAACATTGTCCCTTACACAGTGGTCAATCAAGGTGAATAGCTCATTATAACAGAAAGTCAGTCATGAGCCGAGAAGTGGTTATGCATCAACGCATGTGGGATCTCAGACATGTCTGATTCACTAGTGATAAAATCTAGGTCAATGCTTTACCGTCATATATTGTATAGGGTAGAAATTTTTCGACAATGCAAGGAGAATACAAATACAGCAAGTCAAGAATAACTTAGTTTGGAGAAGTATCATCTAATAAGATTGAAATAAACAGTCCAAATTTGCTATATTCTAATATTTATTTCAGCTGAGTAATTTTATTTATAATTTTGGTTCAGTAAAATGTAAACAACCTATCCTGATCTTCACTTCAATAAATGGCTTCATTAAGAAAGTTATTGTGTTATAACTAATTCTTTTTTCTCTAAGGGTTTAGTATTAATTTTGAGCAAATGACTTATATGACCTCAAATTCAGTAATTCTTGAGCATCATGTGCTGTCATTCATTGCATTACATTAGACCATTAGTTTCATGTTATTCCACTGAAATCCTTATTCATAGATGTTTTTCTTTTAAACCTTAATTACATTATGTATAGATTTGTATTTTCTACATATTTGTTTACTTGTATATGATCTTATTTAAATAGTTAGACATCAATGACTCTCTACTTTCTCAAAGCATTAACTCATATTTTACACAAGCATTTGAATTTCAAACTCACCTGCAGCATAATTCAAATACGTTCAAAGTCCTATCTATACATTACATTGCGATCAATGTACGTTGGAGTGTTTGAGCCAAATTGTTTTATAACGGTCACTTTTCATCCATAAATTATGATGTCAATTGACTATATGAAGTTTGTTAATACATCATAAATATGTATATAAATAAATGAACATAACAGATTATATAATAAATAATTCATGTAAAAAATATTACATAACGTAAGGCTGAATGACAAGTAAAATACTTTTTCAAGATCATTCTACATAGTGAGCATTACGAGAATTTAATTAAAGCCGTCATGTGAAGTCGCCTAATGGACAAGGTACTGAGGTGGGAGGAGATGATGCAATCAATCAATTTAAAGGTAATTATTTATTCCATATGTTTTAACAGTATAAATATAGACAAAAACTATATATGAAGAATAAATTTCCAGATAACAAATATAAGAATTTGATCTTTTGATTGCTAACTTCTTCAACAGAATTATGTTTTTCCTTTGATAATTCTATTCATGACCCAACTAGTTCAGTGATATCTGAACATGAAAAGAAATACTAATTCAAATCCTGCTGGATACAATTGATCATTCATGTTCAGTATGTATTATAAGACTCAGCAAACTAAAGTACTTTGAATATGCTGGCAATCTTTTCATGTTTGTGTTCTGTAAATGTATTATGCTCTGATCTATTTCAATATTCAATGAATCCTAGTGTTTTTTTGTCTTTATAGATGTAACAACTCCAACATATGAAGAATTTTTAGACCGTTATCTGCATCAATTACTAACTATACAATAAAGATTATTTAGGTTGAAGCGTGCTTACAAAGCATTGTTTTTGGTACGCTCGACTCTAGGTATGCTTAAACATCTATTACATTATATAACTACACTGACTTGATGAGTTTGAAATTTACTATCTATGCATATTAGATTCAAGACTCAGCTTTATTATGAATATATATATAGTGATGTCCATTTTATATACACATCCAATAACTTGCTGAAACAATCGAGTTTCGTCAAAATGACAGACAAATTTGATTATGGAAACTAAAAAAATGGTTTTCTTTTTTTGTCCAATTATTATTATTTGAATACCAGAGAATTCACTAAATGATAATGGTTCTGCTTCGATTGTCACGTCACAGTTAGTTGATTTTATTATTATTAATCTTGAAATCTTCATTAATTATTATTATTTACATGAATTGGAATAATCAAAATAAAACAAACATATGACATTTATTCTCTTCAAATTCCTTAATTAGATTGAATAATTATTAATTATTATTATTTTTTTTAATCATTATATAATCATTATAAAAAATACGATAGGCAACAGTTATTATCAGTTCAGATTCTTGGCAAATATATATTTGTTTGAACTGTGATTACTACTTAACTAGTCACGTAAGATTAAATCAACGAAACTAAACTTTTAAAATGTGGTAGTGATCTTATAGTTGAAAATGTTTTACCACTTAGATCGGTATCAGTGAGAACTTATGATGTATTTTCTTCTCAAAGTTAAATTATAAAGTGGATTGAACAAAAATATATCACTCGACATAGATAAAAATATATCTTATTTGAAAATTATTTAGCAAAAGTATTTTACTCAGACTAATTAATAATTTTCTATGTGTACTAGTAAGATAGACGTTTGATATTCACTTCCGTACCCATACGATAAAACTATTCTTTCACTGTTAATTTATTTAGTTTTCTTCTGGTGTTTTGCCTACAAATGAATATGTAGATTAGGAAACCACAAATATGCTGACAAGGTTAAATAAAATTATAGAACACAACTAAACGAATATTTATTGACTCTCGAAAACGCACGTTACAGAGTCAAAAAATATATTCATTTAATAATAGATATCACAAATAGGAAAGTGCATACAACTATTGCCAAAATAAATGCTGGATACCATGCACAACATAGCTCACACTAATTTAATACAAAGATTTATGGTTATAGACTGCCTAAACATTTCATAGAAATGGTTTAAAGTCAAAATTGTCCTTTATTATGAAGAAAAATCAACCTTATAACTCAGATATATTAGTAGAATCGAGAACTGTTTTTGAATATATTTCAGATTGTAATGAAATTTCTGTTCATGATAAATAAAATGCTACTAAACACCGAATTAGACAGTTTCATTTATAACCACAGTGTTCATTCGAGTTTAGTCTGTAATCATGAAATTCAAAATGGTTGGCTTCTCAGATAAATTAAATGCAATCAGATGATTAACAAAAACATTAAATCACGGATAAAATTTATCAGAAATTAAGATTAGCAATTTTATATTTTTGTTCTGATATTATGTCCTCTACGAAATCGTAAACCCTTCCAGACTGAATAGATTAAAATCCAAAAGTAAGTTACATTAGTTGGTTAAATCTTT